TTATTTTTTTATTTAATAATTTATATTTTATAATTTAATACATGAATTATATACTAAATTATAAAACAAACACTAAAAAAATCTTTAATTTAAAAATTAAAAGGAAGAAGCGTCAAAATTTTAATAGGGGGGACTGAACATGACGGCGTTGTTTGGTGAGGAAGCAACAACAAAGTCTAAAAGATATATTGAATGCTTCGTTCGGAAGTCATTCCCCTTTTAATTATGTTGTCTCTTCCACCACTAAAGTGATCGTATATATTAAGGCCATGTTTATGGCCACTCAAGAATTTATTAGAGCCACATAAAAATAATATAATTGTTTTCAATTTAGTTATTAAAAATAATTAATAATTAAAATTATTAATTGATAATAAATAATAGATAAAACATGTAATATTTATTTGTTAATAGTTTAAAATTAATGTATAAAATAATAATTTCAAATAAATTTTTTTTAAACGAATTACAATTTAAGGATAGGAGATTTGAACATTAACTTTAAGACTAAATGATGCACATTTACAATATAACATATAATTATCCAGTCACAAAACTCAAATGCAATACTTTCAAATAACTCTTTTTTTTGAACGGTTTTTGTCATGGGGCAGGTTCGAAACCCGCCCAAGAGAGGGGGATGTGCACTTTTTAGTGGCTCTAGTCACTGGACCACACGGGCCAAGTGCAATACTTTCAAATAACTTAACAAATATAACATAATAAAATTTAATAAATTAAATACACACATTACATTTTGTGAGGCCCAACAATTTTTTAAATGATGATAACATGGCCTATATTATACCATGATTTTAATATACTTTATGGCCAAAAATGCCAAGAAGTTTAGTAGCCACCGTTTTGCCTTCTCCCTCTAGAAAACAAAATCAAATTTATACACGACATCATGTCAATATATATAAGAATTAATATGGATTTAGATCTACCTAAACATCATAAAAAGGGAGAATGCATTGAACGATGGCTTCAGCCATAATAAAGGCGCACTCTTACCATTGTCCACCTGTAGATCGAACCGTCCGCGGTCTAGGTAGACTCTTACTAGTTTGGCCTAGGCGGGGATAATAATATGAAAGATCTACTAATTAAAACTATATCATAAGGTTTAATTAAACAAAGATTAAAGAGAATTAAAGAAAAAAGTGGCAAATTATTGAGTGCAAGATCTTACAGAACAACATTGGGCACAACATGTGGCTTTTGTTGAAGGATTCAATCTCTCGAGGATCGATTGGGTTCCTGTAATTCCAACACGTAGCACAGTGCCAAGAATCCCCTGTTTTGTTGGGAACGAGAGTACTGTCTATCACAGATTACATGGTAATTAAAATATCTAAAAGAAGAAATCACTTTGGATTGCACAAGTCCTCCATTAAACCCAAATAGATCACTAACACCTGTGAATAACCTACCTGACAATATTCCCTCTTCCTTTAATCTTTTAGAAAATGACTGGACGAGTGCACATGAAGATTGATGATGAAAGAGGCAGGGGAATTACAGAAAATTAGTGCTTTAAAATAACTTTTTTCCAGTTTGCTAATCATGGGCAAATGAACGTGTACCAATCCAAAGTTGTTTTGGTTAAATGCAGTTAGGCATAAAAGGCAAATGCATTAATGCAAGGAGGTGGTGCATTTAGAAAAAAAAAATAATGGGTAGCTTTCAAGGATCTTAATTCATTATCAACTAATGACTCCTAAGCACACTAATTAATCATCAGAAAGATTCAGACACAAAATTTCATCCAATAGAGAGGGAAGTGAAAGAAGATGAAACTCCATCTAGACACACTTTACACATCAACTGCTTTTATTAAGGACCAACTCGAGTACCTGATCATAGTTGGAAAAGGAATAATATACGAGATACAGTATTTTCCCTTCATAAAAGAAACAGACAAGAAGAATGTCTTTGAGCAACTTATATTGTCTCAGTCTTTCTCAGATGAAACTATAACTTTGCATACATTTTACAAACAGTAGCATCCGTAACTGCATGAGTAGCAAATATATGCATACAGGAAGATAGACAAGCTAAACCTACTCAGTACTCGGCCTATGTGAGTATGTAAGAAACGACAGCATAGAGCTACAGACAGATGTCAAAGGTTCTTGACATACAGAGATTATACAGACCCTACATGGATGTTAGTATTCACAAGTCCATGTCATCAAATATTTCCCCATCCTCCTCGTAACTCAAGCTGTCCATGTGAAATCCATCAGCCACTAAGTTACTGTCAGAAGGAAAGAGAAAAAGTAACAAGGCAAAACAGTTAGCACGATTGAGGCCAGAAACAGTAGAAGCTTGTGAAAAGTTAGGGTGCTTAAAATAGAACGCTTAACCCACCTTAAGCAGCAAAAATGGAAACCCACTACACGCTTCAGTTTTCTATTATAGAAGAAGAAGCTGAATGACCAACTGTAAATTTCAGCAGAATGAAAATCAGTCATGCTTAAAGCATAACAACTAATAATCCACCCATGCATTCATAATTTAACAACTCACATTGCTCCATTCTCCAGAAAGGGGTCTGCATCATAATCTGGATTGTAACTGTAAATTTCACAATCTGATAGTTTCACAACCTGCATTACCGGCTAGGTATCACAAGATTGTCTGTCTTTCTATGACTTACATTCACTTTTAGGAAACAATGCCTACCTCATCCAGAGCCTTGTACACAGTTTCTAGGAGGGAACTGCCCCCATTAGTCTCAACCCACTCCTGTATAATCAACCACATACAAGAGGAAATGAGAACTCATATCACAGTTTAGAGACCTTCCATTATAAAGAAGCTTACAGAACCATATATTACAATGAGCCCTCTAAACAATACATCTCACGAGGAACAGAATCACAAGTGAAGATTAGCAGTTTCTCCTCCCCAAACCATTCAGCTAACACCTCACCCCACCCCACCCCACCCCACCCCACCCAGAGGAGAGTAAGAAGGGAAAAGAGTACAATTAAGAACTAAAAAATAAATAAATAAATAAAATAAAATAAAAAACACCTCATTTTCCTTAAGCTCATACAATTATCAATAAAAAACAACTACCACTTTGCTCCACAGAAGGTGATACAGAGCCTTATGCCACTATTAAAGACCAATTAAAAATCATCTTTCACATGTTAAACACTTTGGTTACATAATGTCTGTAAAAACAGTTAGAAAATTGAAGATGAGAAGTCCAATAGTAGTGAATGCACGGGGAATTATCTGACCAAATGAAAAGCAATTCCTTTCTATCACAAACATGTGCCTCTAAGTGTTCCATTTTTTTATTGAGAAATCCAAATAAAAAAAAAAAGAAAAAAGAAAAAAGAAAAAGAACATAATTATGACTATACCTTTGATGCTTCAAACATGTAGGTGTCAAATATCTGCTTAAAAGTATCCCAGCTTTCCTCTGTGAAGAACTGGTGTGCTTTCACTGCACTGGAAACCACATTGATGCAAGCAACAATATGATATAAGGGAGCCACAATAAAATTAAAACAGTCATGAATTCTCTTCAAATGCACTTCACAGAAGCATTAATTAATTGAATAAAATACAAACCAATCACATTAAAGACCAGGCTTAGACTTGGGAAATGGAGAGACTTGAACTCTCAGCTCAACCTAGAGCAACAGTTATCTGAACTGTCTGTCAAACCTTTTGACAACACTCCCAATGCAGTAAAAAAGAGGATTATATAGCGGGTTGCCAAGTCGCCCAATAAGCTGACCGTGGCATTACCCATAATCCTCCTTTTAAGCTCTCTTTAAAATTAAACTTTCTTTATTGAACATAAAACACAGAAATACCTGAAGTCATAATCTGGATACATGTGATAAAGGGTAAGCACCAAGTAGATCAATGTCTTTCGGCTGGAATGCGTATGATGAAAAACTGGTCAAATAATCTGAATGTCAAATCATACTTCCAAAAGACTAAAGGTAACATTGACAACCTTGATCTGCTCAACAGGAAATCAGCTGGTGAAGAGGAATCAGTGTCTGAAGATTTCCCAAGATAGTCCAAGATCTAAAGTGATAAAAAAAGAGAAGGAAAAAAAGAAGAATTTTAGAGGCATTAAACCTTTACTGCTGGACTGGGAAAAGTAAAAACTGCATGACAAACTAGTTTGCAATGAACACTTCTAGAGATTCAGTATCTTAACTAGTAAAAGAGCAAGAAGAGCATCAAAGGTAAATGGAATTGGAAGCTGAAAAATCTTTTGGCCAACAAAAAATAAATAAATAAATAAATAAAAATTATAGACCATTACATTCTTAAAATGGTTCCTTTTTCTATTTTATTGACTTAATAATTCTCCTGCATAAAGGGAAACAAACCAAACCTGCAACACATTTTATACCTCATTCTCCAAACTGAGAGATAGTCTTTTGTCTGTCCCTGTGTGTTTACCTATAATATAACATAATTAAAAAGGAAAGAAATTACGAATTTTCTTTTTCAGTGAGCTCAAAAAACCTTAAGAAAAGTCATGAAATTGAAATTACAAGAGTAGGCTTCAAGGGTTCCTTTGATCTGACGTTCCCCAAGGTTTAAATTGCTCAAGAAATCATTTAATCTGACAAAAAAGGATGCCACTTAATTACAAATGAAATTCAAAGGGGAGAGAGTGGTCTTACTAACGAAATCCATAATGAACCTCAAAAATCAAATAATTACCAGACCTTGAAAATCAAATAATTACCAGACCCTGAAAATCAAATAATTACCGGTCAAGAGGAGTGTATTCTAAGAACTTCATGACAAGTGTAGCTAAACAGATTTGATGATCTTAATCTCAAAAGGTCCCAATTCCAAAGGTCCTGTAAGAAGCAAAAAAACCCAATATACAGGAATTCAAAGGCAGTAAAAATTTGCAAATTACTAACTTACAAAAGAAAACAAAATTAACAGATCTCGATTGAAACATGAAGTCATGACCACAATCCACAGCATAAGCAACTTTAAGGCTCTTTTTAATTAAACTACACATGAACACCATTCAGACGCCTTATGGTCTAGTCTGTTAAACCATTTAACGAGTAACACCATCGTTACAGAATGAAAAATGCTAAGTATTACGAAATTAAATCTTTTTTCCTTACGTTTTTTCTTTATAAAAAATGCGAATAATTCCTCCCCCCCCCCCCCCCCAAAAAAAAAAAAAAAAAAAAAAAAAAAAAAAAGAGCATCTACTTAATTAATCCCATTCAATTGAATGCTACAATGCCGAAATGGAGCCAACCAGTCTCTACATACTTGATTGAAAATATTGAAAAAAAGTTAGTTTATTTATGTGCTTTAAGCATGAGCATTTTAAAATGCATTATATATTCAACAGATATTCTCCTCCATAATTGCAAATCTAGATTTCATCGAGAAAATAAAAACGAAAATCCAAAGCAATGAATCAAACAAAAATCATTAAATCCCAACGGGAATCAACAAAGAAGAAGGAACCATTCGTACAGATCCTAATTAAACTGCATGACGAACATAAATTACAATAAAAAATTCGAAAATTAATTTTTTTTTAAAAATTACTAGAAGAGAAGAGAGTAATCGTTTGGCTTTACGTACCTTAAAGGATCGATTTAAAGAAAAGGTTTAGAATCTCCGGATTTATAAGATCTAGCTCCCGCCGGGTCCGAAGAAGAAGATGGTGCCTCTCGAATATTCGATTTGGGAATGCCTGGTTGTTGATGACTGCGGAGTTGCGAGTTCGGACGTCCGACGCGTCTTTCTTAAATGAAGCTTCCGGCCTTGTCTGTCTTGTTTTCGTTTTATGGGCTTTGGGCCCAATCTTGACCCCGAGTTGGATAGGAATAAATTTTGTTGACATTACGCCTTAGCAATTATACCAGTAATAATAAATACATAAGAGTACTTTGACAATAAAACATAAGACTAACAAACAGTAAATTTCATTGAGGTCATAACTTAAAAATTATACTAGTAATAATAAATATATAAGAGTACGTTGACAATTAAACATAAGACTAATAAACAGTATATTTCATTGAGGTCATAACTTAAAAAATTTTGAATTTTACAATCAACACAATTCTCTATTTTCTTTTACCACCCTACTTGTATACATGTTTTTCAAATTTAAAATTTTTTATTTTTATTTTAAAAAATTATTAAATTATTTAAGTTACTGGTAAAATTAAGTCAATGCTTTAATTTTATTAGATGAATATCCTTTCTCACTCTCTTGCATCCATTTTTCTTGATTTAAACATATTTTAAAAGTTTTTTCTTATAATATAAGGATTAATTTATTTGATTTGAAAAGTAAAGGGACTTGATCAAAAAGATAATAAAAGGGCTAATTCTTCACTTTTTTTTTAACACTGATAAAATTTCATTTACCCAATATAATCATATGACATCTACATAATTTCATTTTCTTATCTCATGGATAAAAATTGCCAATAACACGTGACATATTGAACATAAACAAAGATATAAAATAAGAGTAAATTAAGTTTAACATATCTAAATAAAAAAGAAAGATGATGAGTAAATCACACAATTAACCTTTAAGGGAAGCTAACTATTTATATATATTTTTTAATCACGTTTTATTTTCTCCAAACACCTTTTAACTTACCTTTAAATTAAGTTGATACAATCTCCGTGATATTATGGCTTAAAGGTTTATAGTTGAATCAACTTTGTTCTTTATAATCATCTAAAACTTTGCAATCTAATCCATGGCTCTAATCACCTACTGCTAGATCTAAAAGAGAAAGCATTAACACATACTAAAAGACCTTAAAGAAAAGAAAAAAGAAATAAAACTAACAAGGAACTAAAAAAAAACAATAGATTCCCACGAGGAATCATCAAATTGAGCATGGGGCATTTGGCTCCATAATGCTTGAGAAGCCAGAGGCTTCCAATCAACAAAAAATGGAATTTTTCACCAATTTTAGTAGAGGGATCTATGTGCTAAATAATACTCCTATAAGCCTTCCATTTCATTAGTTCCAAAAGTTTTTTTTTTTTTTTTATCTAAAGTAAAAGGATTAATTTATCTGCTTCAAAAAGTAAAGGGACTTGGCAAAAAAATATAAAGGGGCTAATTTTTCACCAATTTTAGTAGAGGGGCTTATGTGCTATAATAGTCAAGCTTGGTCGCTTATTTGCATTTTTTTCCCTTAAGTCAAAACGGAAGTTCCAATTAACAGTGAAAATTGCACAAAATAAAAAGGAAAGAAAATCGCATAGTGCCAAGAGAGAGAGGGAAGCGTAGTTCTAACTCCTTCCGCCGGAGTTTATACCTGCTACGCACGGCAACCCCTTCCTTTTTCAGGCGGAACGTCCAGATCTCACTTCACCGAACGCGGTCGTCGATTCAGGAGAAACAGATAAATCGGACCAAATTCCACAGAGAACATTGAAGCAACAATAGTCCTGCTCCTTCTTTCCCTCCATGTCTCTTCCTGCATATCTGATTTTGATTTTGAACCTGTGGAGCTTGAAAGCCGAGTCGTTCTCCGCTGGATCGCGTTCGATTCTTCGAGAGATTGGCAGCAACGGCAACAGTGGCGAGCATCAGGACTACGCCGTCGAATTGAACGCCACGAATTTCGATGCAGTCCTCAAGGACGACACTCCTGCTACCTACGCCATACTTGAATTCTTCGCTCACTGGTTAGTACTCTGAGTCTTGCAATTTCTGCATAACTGACTTTTTTGTTAAAGGCTTGAGCGTTTGATTGTAATTTTTTTTTTTTTTTTTAAATTTCTAAAGGTCGTTTCAAACTTTCAAGTGATCTTAGGGCTGTACCTAGAGAAGGAGAAAAACAAATAGAAACTGTGATACAATAGAAGGTATTAGTGAGCTCGGAAATTACTGGTTTTAGTCTGTTAATTGGTTGATATCTGATGATCTCACGTTAAGAAAGTATACGAGGTTAACATGTATAAAAAGTGGTGTATCTATGTGATCTGGTATCAATTGGTAATGGGGTGAAAGCAGATTCTTAAAGTTATCATCCTTTTTAAGAATTTGAATAAAGTGGTTCTGCCAGGTTTTTTTTATCACCTTGATGAGAGATTTATCATCCTATTTTGCTTCAGTATCCAAATGTCTCTCCCTGTTTATTTGTAACTTTATATTACAAGCGAGCATGTTATTTGATCACGTAATGGACCTCTTATTTACTTTTCTTCTCAGTGTCTATTGATTTGATGTAGGTATTTTTTGTGCTTCCTCGTGTCAATTTTTGATCTTATATAACGCCCTTCTCATTTGTTTGCATATTCCTTTTCAGGTGTCCTGCGTGCAGAAATTATAAGGTATGATATGGTATGTTTATATTATGCAGTTTAGAATGTGAATTTTCCTTGATTTTTATTGCTTTTCTTATAATTATGCAGCCTCATTATGAGAAGGTTGCAAGGCTTTTCAACGGACCTGATGCAGTCCATCCAGGCATCATTTTGATGACAAGGGTAGACTGTGCATTAAAGGTATTTATGCTCTGTCTTCATAGTATCATGCAAGATGTTTCATCATGAAATCCTTTTTTATTCTTTTTCCTGGATTCTTGGAAAAAAAAGTGTACCAGTTTGATATCAGATAATGGCCTCTCTACTTTGTTGTTGAGGAGTGTCACAATGCATAAAGCTGAAATGTTTGTATCTTGACTGAATGGAAAATCATTATGATCTAGTGGTAGAGTTATTACTAGTAGATTTTATTGCATCTGTCATAGCCTCATTGCTTAGTAGTTATAGTTGATGGAATTTTTATTTTCCAGTTGTGTTTAGTTATTTCAAAATTTTACTTAGCAGTTAACACTACTATATATTAGCTGGCATGTCTGTGTGGGATGATACCCATTAAAATTTGTTTATTTAATTTAAATACCTGCTCCACCCATAGTTATAAGAGAAAAGGTATCTGTTAAGATTTATTTATCTAATCTTAAATGTGATTGGGTGCTACTTTCTTCTATTTCTTTAGTATAATTTTTAGGAATAACTCAGGACATTTCCAGATTCCAAAGCCATATGATTCATGACTTTTCTGTTCTTTTAAGCTTTCTTATTGGAGTTTTTTATTGCGTTTTATGGGATCTTCACCTTCCGTTGCTGTTCTTCATTTAGTTCCTTTTCTTTCTTTAGTATTCCATATCAGATAAGTTTGTGAGAGGGCCTCACAGAAGAACAGAGATAGAATCCTCCTGCTTCATAAAGCTCAATTTCTGTGAGGCCACAATGAATCCCATACTTAATTGATATTTAAAGTTGTTGACATTGGTATTTACTACTATTATAAATATTATCATTTTGTTTATTATTGTCTGTGAGTGTTGGAATTAGAATGGTGTTGACATTGGATTTTGATCACTCTTGCTTGGCTGATTAGCTTTCTTCCTTTAACCACTCTTTGTTGCATATCTTTGTTTTGATTATGATTTGCTCAACTCTTGTTTCATCTACTGAATAGCATGGCTTGGTGATCACTTCCTTTCATTTTTAATTTTTACTTGTTTGGCAGCACAGATAAATACCAAACTTTGTGATAGGTTTTCTGTTAGTCATTATCCTATGCTCTTTTGGGGGGCTCCTACTAAGTTTTTAACTGGTGGATGGGATCCGTCACAAGTGAAAAGTGAAATACGTGTAATTGATGATGGTCGGACAGCTGAACGTTTGCTTAGTTGGATCAATAAGCAACTAGGCAGGTATGATTCTCTTCATTCATTGCTTTTTTAATTTACTATGTCTTTTTTTATCAGAGCAGTTGCATTCCTGGAATTTATCCATATTATAAAATTATTAAAGGCAATGAACTGTATTTTCAGTTTATCAATGAAATGTGACTGTTAGCTTGCAGTCCTCATTCCTATTTGTATTGCTTATGCTCCTAATGCAGCTCCTATGGCTTGGATGATCAGAAATTTGAAAATGAGCATCCTCCATCAAATATATCGGACCCTGGACAGGTCTTTTTGAGAGATTCTCACTTTGATTCTTGATTAACAAACACGAAACATTTTCATCATTTAATTAAGATATTAACTTCAGCATTGTTTATTTGTGAAAGATTGCCCGAGCTGTATATGATGTTGAGGAAGCAACTGCCACTGCCTTTGACATCATTTTAGAGCACAAGGTGAAAGTTTCCTTATTTTATCAGGTTCTCTCTCTCTCTGATATTAGGGGAGAGAGGGGGTTGCGGGAACAAGGTTGGTTCTTCCTTCTTCGTCTAAAGTTTCTAAATATGGTATTTTGCAGATGATCAAATCTGAAACTCGGGCTTCACTTATAAGATTTCTTCAGCTCTTGGTGGTTCACCATCCTTCTAGGAGGTAAGATCAACCTTTGTTTGTTCACCTTTCCTTGACCTTTAAGTGGTGTTTCCTTCATTATGTTACTCGGCATTACTTTTACTTGTATTAGGTGATGTTTCCTTCATAATGTTACTCTGTATTACTTGTATTAGATGTCGGAAAGGAAGTGCACAAGTCCTTGTTAATTTTGATGACTTGTGCCCATCAGATACATGCTCAGCTGATAAGCATGCAGATGTCACTGATAATGGGAAGGGTGCACTAGCGAATATTCAGATTTGTGGAAAAGAAGTTCCCCGTGGATACTGGGTATGTACTTCAGGTTGCATTTTTGTCTGGCTTTCTACTCTTTGCCCTGTATTTGTTTCAAAGTATTGATACTATACTTTGTACTGTTTAGTCAGGACTCAGGTTAATTCTTACCAGGCATGATTGCATTCTGTACTGGCATATTTTGTCCATGTACACTATAGTATAAACCAATTCATAATTTGAGGTGAAACTAGACTTTTTCTTTTCTTTTCTTTTCTTTTTCTCTCTCTCTTTCACTCTCTCCCCTCCTTTTTTTTTTTTTTCTTTGAAGGAAATGGTAAGTTCCTTTCCTTGCAAAATTTCCAGCTAAGGGTAGATACATGTATATACAGGCATATCTCCATGTCTGCCATTTTGTGTATTTAAGTTGACATATAACTCCATTTCTTTATTAGACAAGGCAAAAACATGCATCTCATGTGTTTATGCTATGTGGGTTTTTGGTTGCATACATCTTGCTAGTTTGAGTTCTGTAGGACTATCCTTTCAATGTTCTATTATTATATCCACTAAACTGTTTTAATGATTGTTTCTATCTCCTGTGGATGTCCTTTTTTGCAGATGTTTTGTCGTGGTAGCAGGAATGATACTAGGGGATTTAGGTAAATGGTTCATTTTCTTCTTATCATGTTGAGATTGCCCAGACAAATAGTTGCATTTGGATTTTCGATGTACAATGAGTATCTATTCAGACAATTTTCTTATCTTTTCCAACTTAATATTCCTCTCTCTTTAGGCAATGCTCTTCACTTGATATCAAATGCTCTCTTTTACAACTTGCATGAATTAATATCCCTTCTTCTTTTGCTCTTTGTTTTTTTAACTTGGATGCTACATCCTTCTTTTCCGACATCCATAAGCATCGCTATGGAGAAAATTATATGCGAGCTGCTTTCAACTGTTCATTTTTCTTTTTGAAATTTTGTAGCTGTGGATTATGGGTTCTGCTGCATTCAGTCTCAGTGAGGATTGAGGATGGAGAGAGCCAGTTTGCATTTACATCTATATGTGATTTTATTCACAACTTCTTCATCTGTGAGGAGTGCCGTCAACATTTCTATGAGATGTGTTCAAGGTAAAATCAACTCTATAAAGCTAGTAATCTTCAATTCTTTAAGATCCTTTAATCTAATTGTGAATCATCCAATTTGTAGTGTTAAGAGTCCTTTCAGCAAAGCTCAAGACTTTGCCCTTTGGCTTTGGAGTGCACACAATAAAGTTAATGAGAGATTAAAGAAAGAAGAAGCATCTTTGAAAACTGCTGATCCCAAGTTCCCAAAGATTATCTGGCCTCCAAGACAGCTTTGCACTTCATGTTATCACTCCCAAAGTTCTAATGGAAACAGTGAGGATAATTGGAACCGGGATGAAGTATTCAAGTTCTTGACTAGTTATTATGGGAAGACACTCATATCTCTATACAAAGAGAAGGATCTTCTTGATAATGATGCAACCAATGTAGCTATTGATGAATTGGTGGCCTCAACAAATGCAGTAGTGGTGCCTGTTGGCGCTGCCTTAGCTATTGCTGTTGCCAGCTGTGCATTTGGAGCGCTTGCTTGCTACTGGCGATCACATCAGAAGAATCGAAAGTATTACCACCAACTATACTCTTTAAAGAATATATAATAGATAGAGAATTTAGTGAGGTCCTTCAAATCCTTTAAAAGGATTAAAAAAATTTTGGGTGGGGAGAGAGGTTTGACGATTAGGAGGTAACTTATTTGATTTCCTTCCAAAATGTTTCAGGCCGAGGAGAAGCTGGAACTAAGAATATTTAAAGAACAATACACCACACAGATATAACGGTGACCCATGGTTGAACTCAGGCTTCCAGAGTAGGAATCCAGATTCATACAGCCCTATACTGACTGCACTGGTTAAGGTTCTGTCCTGTACTTGTATTGTTGCTTTCAACCAACCTCTTGTCCTAATCTTAATTTTGGAGCACTGTCCTCTCTATCTGTGTCCTTAATTTTCTTTTATTTTCTCCATGCTGGATGCGTCCTTCTTTTTTCTTTTTCTTTTCTTTTTCTTTTTTTTTTTTCTGAACTTAAGGAATTTTTGGGTGTGGAGAGTTAGTAGTGCCTGGTGTGGAACTTTGAATTTCATGTTCTAACACCTCCCTCTAACGGGTATGGTCACTAAGTCATTTAGTGTTAGACATACTACATATGTCCTTTGTCATTCTCTTTGTATGTATGGCATGTGTAGCATTTTTTTTTTTTTTCTAAGTTAAGGTGAAGCGAATTAAGCATTTGCTAAAAAAGAATATGAAAGGCACTATTGTCGTTGAGTAGGTGTTACTTGTCTCTACGATGGGAACAATTTGCTGGACTCGCCGGTTCCTACCTCCTACAGGTTGTGCAACCATATGGGTCTTGTTCCCCCTGGATAACCGAAGATGTACATTCCACTTTTTACTGATTCATCTATGCCATCATCCGACACGAAACCTTTTATAACTGTTGAATGTTGATTCCATTGCCGTATCATAAATATTTAAAGTTAGACCTAGCAAACGGAGCAGCTTGGGTCACTACAAGTGGCAAGGTGGTCAAGATGGGTCAAATGGGTTCATAGTTCAGAAAAGGTGTCTCATGACCCATTTACTCACAAGTTATGGGAGTTTGATCCAACCCACCCAAGTTGTGGGTCAAAGCTGGATGAAAGAGGTTCATGGGTTCTCAGAGCTGAGTCCCAGTCTACAATGACTCCGGCCACAATGGACAGGTTCCCTTGGGTGATGAATCGAGTCTTGCTAGGTTTATTTAAAATATAAATGCAGAAAAATTATTGGTATGTGTCCATTAGGAGGAGGGCCTCTCAACTTTGGCACATAACTAGCACTCATGCATGGAATGCATTTAGTTGTGATTTTTTTCCTTGAATGCATTTTCTGAATACATTTCTATTTATTTACGTTGTTTCTTTTCACACTGTACATTTAGGAGGATATATGCAAAACAACAGGCATATTAGATAATTTTTCAAATCTCAAGTTTCAATCTTGATTTTGAAGGAGAAAATGCAAAGCTAATACTAATCGCTTCCCCAACCACTGCAGCTGTGAGCGTCATCTTCCAATTTTTCTGTTGATAGCTAGAATCAATCTTCATTACCTTGGAAACATGAGACTGGAGACATGAAGATGGCCAAATCATCCTGGTCAGAAGCAAGACCAAATTCTTATTCTGCTTCAAACTTAGGTCTTATTCAGGGGGCATCGACATTAATAACATGAGGCTGAGGCTGAGGTTGCGGAGTAGCTTCCTCGGCCTCTTCATCCAATTCAGTAGATGAAGATGGAGTTACCTAGAGGACAAACAATAAAAAACTAGATTACCAAATTTAAAGCTCAACATTAGAGAAGATGAGAGAATCATGATATAGGAGGAACTCACCTGGTGGTGCCGGCGGTGCTGAAAGGCAGTTACAGCTCTGACTATGACATAGATTGGTAGGACAACCCCAAAAGTTCTCAGAAGTAACAACTGAGAAATGTAGCAGAGGAAAATTCAAAAGATCGATTTTGTAACTATTTTCATCGAATAGATAAGGAAGTAAACACCTTCTTACCATAAATAACGGGAATGAGTAATCATTTGTTCCACTAAGTATCAAAGGAATAGTTTGTCGTAAAACCAGCAGGACCATGAACTGCAGACAGAAACATAAGAGATTGGAGCTGTCAATATCAATAAGCATATAGATTTTGAGTACCATATTCAGAGACATAATAACGAGAATACATGAATTCTTTCATCCCAAAGGCAAGTTGATTGATGGAGAGTGACTTACAATTAGCACAACTGTACGGCAGCACATCACACTTCGAGTGGTTGGAACTGAGTATTCATCATAACCAGGATCAATGAAATTGCGTTCAGTAGAAACCATTGCTATAAAACGAGGATTATTTAACCCCCTTCTGGAAATTTCCCAGTTTCTCCTGAAAACGGCAAAACAGAAGCACATTGGCAAATTTAGAGGAAGAACTAAACATTTAGATTTAGCTACAAGTTACGTATAAGTAGTCCTACAGAAACATTACCTGAAGTTCATCGGAAGTTGGAACAAAGGAGGTGGTGCTGTGTACCCTGGCTTGAATTGCTGAAATACACAAGATCTCATATTCAGTTAAGTTTAGTTTGATCTTTACCTGGTTAATTAATAAGACACGGCAGCCTCAGAGCTCTAAGTAGCAGAAAGTGAACCGTAAAAGATATAATCACCTGATGGCATATCTCACAGATAGTGTTACCCTTCTCATTGCACCATCTCTGTACACAGCTGCGATGAGCATACTGCAGGAAAACCAAGGATCAGAAGGCTTAAAACTGATATCAACAATTATTTGCACTGGAACCATTTACATTTATAAGAAAGATGGCCACAACATTTGAGAAAGAATGTGCTAACTGCCTCAAGTTTGAGTTGGCCATGTTTCCATACACTAATATTGTCAATAAAGCATGAACAGTTATGATGCTGCTAGAGATGGATCTGCTCGATTGAAAGCTAATGTGTAGCGTGTGATTTTGTCAATGGCTACAATTAAATGTTCAAAACAAAGTGTCACGTAAACTCAAGGGTTAGGTAAAACGATGGTGTGAAATGTCATGAAGGAATAAAGATTCCTGATTCAACAGACAAGCTAAGAATTTTTAAATCAAAAAATAAAGATAAACCTAAGAATTTCAATGGAGAATGTCAAGATAGGAATAGACATGTTGAAATGCTTAGATTTGTTAATTGCTCTAATCAAAGGAAGGCTTCCTTACTTAAGGTCATACAATTTTCCTTTTTGAAAAAGGGGACATAAGCATAGGAAGAGAAAGACCAGGCCTAGCAAATAGTCAAGATTAGAATAGCCTTTTTCTCTTCATTTTCATGAACATGATGATTTAAAACTGACTCAAACTCACTCTAGACCAATCTTATTCCCCTCAAAATAATGATAATACCGTAAGAAATCTAGAGAACTTGTTCATTCTAGAAGCAGAAAACCATGTATCATATATAAATTATATCATACACCAAAAAATAATTAAAAAAAAAACACACACACACACACACACAGACAGAGAAAAGCAGTATGAATTCCGGGACTCCCTTTTCGCAGATATGGAATGGCGAACAAAAAAACGAATATGTTAAAATCTTTTGAAGCAAAAGTTAACATTTAAATTTGAAATCTGCTGGTCAAATAAACACAA